GCACTGCCAGGAGTGACTCCTGAGTGCAGAGCCAGGAGTAGCTCCTGTGCATCGCCAGGTGTGACCCAAAAAGCAAAAAAAAAATAAAAATAAATAAATAAAATAAAATGCTTAAAAAAAAAAAAGAAGTTGGACCAAATTTTACCCTCCATGAAGAGGACAACTGCTCCCTGAGTATGTGGCAATGATAATAAGAGGGTGGTAAAACCAGAAAAGATGGGACGAGATTCTGATGATGGGTGGGTGGGTCATCACTAGGAGTGTTGAACTAGGCTGAGAAGCAGAGAAAAGCTCAAAAGCTGTTTGTGAAATAGGTGAGCATATGGGTAATTGTAACAAGAATGGGAAGGGAGAGCCAATGGCAAAGAAGAAGAAATATTTGGGAGATAATGATTTTTTAATAAAAGTCTAAAAGCAGGTGCCTGCAAGCTAGCATAGAAGATGAGGCTTTTGCCTTGCATGCAGTTGATCCCACTTCAGTTCTCAGAACTGCACATGCTACCTTGAGCACTGTCAGGGGTCAGTCCTAAATAGAGAGTCAGGAAGGACCTCTGAGCACTGCTGGGTATGGCCCCAACCCCTCGTTTTTATTAGCGGGGGGAGGGGAGAGTTGCACACTCAGCAGTGCTCAGGGCTTACTCCTGGCTCTGTGCTCAACAATCACTTCTGGAGGGGCCTGGTGAATCATATAAGGTATCAGGGATGGAACCAGGGTTGGGCTGTGTGCAGGGCAAGTGCCTGACCTGCTATATTAACACTCCAACTCCCACGCCCATTTTTTTTTTTTTGCCTTTTGGGTCACACCTGGCGATACACAGGGGTTACTCCTGGCTCATGCACTCAGGAATTACTCCTGACAGTGCTCAGGGGACCATATAAGATGCTGGGACTTGAACCCAGTTCGGCCACATGCAGGGCAAATGCCCTACCTGCCATGCTATGGCTCCAGCCCCCCATTTTTTAAAATATCCTAAGAAGCAATGCAGAGCCAGAAGTATGCCATGCCAAGTTTCTGGCATCCTGTCTGATTGCCTCGTCCTCTACCCTGCCAGGAAAGAATATGTTATCCCTCCCACTTAGTTCCATGTGTTTTTGCAGGGATGAAATGAAATCTGCCTTATGTGATGTCCATGCTGTACATTATATATTGTTGCTGTATAATACCTAATTCATTCACTACCCAGAGCCCCACTATTGAGTACCAGTTATAGATTAGAACAATTCATGTGATATGAAAATTTACACAGGGTAAATTTACTCATTGGAGACATTCATTCAACACCTGAACACCAGTGTACTCTTTTTTTTTTTAAGATTTGTCTTTATTCCAATACCATGCCGTTTTGTTTATTTATTTATTATTTTTTGCTTTTTGGGTCACACCCAGCACTGCACAGGGATCACTCCTGGCTCATGCACCTAGGAATTACTCCTGACGGTGCTCGGGGGACCATATGGGATGCTGGGAATCAAACCCGGGTCGGCTGCATACAAGGCAAACGCCGTACCTGCTGTGCTATCGCTCCAGCCCCAACACCTGTGTACTCTTAATTTTAATCTTAATTAAGGCCGATTTAATTTACTGGTTTTCTAACCTATAACATTACAGACTGAAGGTGAAGAGAGTGCTGATAGAGCCAAGGGAGGAGAGGAAGTTCAGGGGGAGGGAATGGGGAAAACTGGGCATCATGGTCTTCGAGAGAATTCAGAACCTTAGAGTGGGAGCTGCAGCCTTTGTAGCACCGCACAGAGCAAGTACCTGGCCTGGTCCAACCAGGCATCCATGGTTTCCAGAAAGCAGAGATGGTTTAAAGGGGTTGTTTTCAGTGGGCTGGAGCGATAGCACAGCGGGTAGGGCGTTCGCCTTACAAGCGGCCAACATGGCCGACCCGAGTTCGATTCCTCCGCCCCTCTCGGAGAGCCCGGCAAGCTACCGAGAGTATTCGATATGCCACACACAGTAACAACAAAGTCTCCAATGGAGACGTTACTGGGCCTGCTCGAGCAAATCGACCTGAGATTTTACCACTACGAATGATATGTTTTTTCACTGTTTAAAACAGGGCTGGAGCGATAGCACAGCGGGTAGGGCGTTCGCCTTACAAGCGGCCAACATGGCCGACCCGAGTTCGATTCCTCCGCCCCTCTCGGAGAGCCCGGCAAGCTACCGAGAATATTCGATATGCCAGACACAGTAACAACAAAGTCTCCAATGGAGACGTTACTGGGCCCGCTCGAGCAAAACAGGGCTGGAGCGATAGCACAATGGATAGGGCCTTAGCCTTGCACACGGCCGACCTGGTTTCGATTCCTCCGCCCCTCTCGGAGAGCCCGGCAAGCTACCAAGAGCATCCCTCCTGCATGGCAAAGCCTGGCAAGCTACCCATGACATATTCAATATTCCAAAAACAGTAACAACAAGTCTCACAATGGAGACATTACTGGGCCCGCTCAAGCAGATCGATGAACAACGGGAGGACAGTGCTACAGTGCTAAACTCTCATAAAAGAGGGAGGGGAAAAAACAATAGCAACAGTTTAGTTCAGAGGACTGGAACACACAGCTTGCATTTGTGAGGCTCTGTGCTCCATCCCCAGCACAACATGACTGTTTGGATATTCCTAGGTGTCGACCTACTTCCCCTCCTCATATTGAATCTTCTGATTCGGCCTCAAACATTCCATCACCTGAGACTATTTGTCTTTTGTGTTCCTTCTTCCTAGAATTTTAATTTCTCAGATATGTTCATATCTTGCTTATTTACTCCTTTCAATTCCATTTCGAGATCGGAGGCATTTGCATGCTTTCCAGTAATGTGGACGGAAACTCAATTCCATTTCAACATTTCCAGAGCGTGCTTACCCACTGGTTGCAGAACTCTAAATTCCTTGCCTGCTATGTCAAAAATGTGCCCCAATTCACACAATGAAATGCTATGCAGCTCCAAGAAGGAACAAAAATCACGCAATTCGCAGAAATGTGGATGAAACTAGAGAATACCGTGCTGCGTGACGTCAGTCAGAAGGAAAGGGACAGGTGTAGAATGGTTTCTCTCATACGTGGAACTTTAAGATGCACAGCACGGTAGTAACAAAGGTCCAAAGGCAACACAGTTGGTGAACTGATCCACATAATTGAGGGGAAATGAAAGGAATGGGTGTTAGGGTCTTTGGGCAAGGGATGGGTACACTGATGATGGGTGTGGTATTGGCAACATGTCCATGAGAAACCATTATTAATAGTACTGTAAACCATCAAATCTCAATTAAAACTTTTATATGTGTCCCAAAACCAGAATCTTTTTTTAAAAAAAATTATTAGTGAAACACCATGAAGTACAGTTGTAGACTTATAAATTTTTGTGCTTGGGTTTCAGTTATACAATGATCGAGTACCCATCCCTCCACCAGTGCCCATTCTCTACCACCACTAACTAATCCCAGTATCCCTCCCACCCCCCATATCCCCAATCCCTCCCTGCCTCTGTGGCAGGGTATTCCCTTTTGTTCTCTCTCTCCTTTGGGGTGCTGTGGTTTGCAAAAGAGGAATTGAGTGGCAATCATGTTCGATCTATAGTCTACTTTCAGCATGCATCTCCCATCCTGGGAGGATCCTCCCAACACCCTTTATTTGGTGCTCCCTTCTCTATCTGAGCTGCCTTTTCCCCTAGCGTGTGCGGCTGGCCTCCAAGCCATGGAGTAAACCTCCTGGTACTTATTTCGGCTATTCTTGGGTGTTAGTCTCCTATTTTGTTACTTTATGTTCCCCAGATGAATGCAATCTTTCTATGTCTGTCCCTCTCTTTCTGACTCATTTCACTTAGCATGATACTTTCCATGTAGTACCACTTGCATGTAAATTTCATGATTTCATCTTTTCTAACAGCTACATAGTTCTCCATTATGTAGATGTTCCAAAGTTTTTATAACCAGTCATCTGTCCTCTGGCACTCAGGTTTTTTCCAGATTCTAGCTATTGTAAACAGTGCTGCAATGAACAAACAAGTGCAGATGTCACTTCGACTATACTTTTTTGCTTCTCTGGGATATATTCCCAGGAGTGGTATTGCTGAGTCAAATGGGAGCTCAATTTCTAATTTTTTGAGAATCGTCCATACTGTTTTCCAAAAGGGCTGAACCAGTCTGCATTTTCACCAGCAATGAAGAAGGGTCCCTTTCTCACCACATCCGCACCAGCACCAGTTGCTTTTGTTCTTTTGGATGTGGGCCAGTCTCTGTGGTGTGAAATGATAGCTCATTGTTGTTCTGATCTGCATCTCCCTAATGATTAATGATGTAGAGCATTTTCTCATGTGCTTTTTAGCCAGTTGGATTTCTTCTTTGAGAAAGTTTCTGTTTATTTTGTTGCCCCATTTTTGGATGGGGTTGGAAGCCAAAACCAGAATCTTAGTAATTCTATTCTTTTTTTTTTCTTTTTGTGTCACACCTGGCAATACACAGGGGTTACTACTGGCTCTGCACTCAGGAGTTGCTCCTGGCGGTGCTCAGGGGACCATATGGGACGCTGGGTCTATTCTACCTGAACTTTCCGGTGTGAGATTTTCAGCACACTACCACTCCACCCATCCCACCCCCACTTTGGGTAATGCAGTCTCCAGCGGACTGTAATGTTATCATCCAAAGAGGCTATGGTTGGTGGAGATTTTTGACTGAGACAGGGAGGTAGATGGAGAAATTATTTTTCTTCTTGCCTCACAATCCACAAAGACATATGCAATGTGTATGGTCAAAAACAACCTTGGACCTGTTACCTACTACAAATATCCAAATTTGTGCAGATCACAATGCCACTCAGTCCCCTAGGGCATGACTCAACTTTTGGTCCCCAGAACCTGCTAATCATTTACAGCATGTTGACAGATATTTTAACCAGGGGTCAAGGTGAGTGTTCCTAGTTCACCATGTGTAAAGACTGCTTAATCAAGTATTTGGACAAACAAATGTGTTTGTATGTGTGTATGTGTGCAGTGTGTGTGTTGTGGAACACCTGTATAAAATTCTCTACAGTGTTATAACAAGTGGTTGGAATGATTTGCCCTTTGTAACAAAATGAAGGCTTTCACTGCAGTGCTGCTTCTGAACCTTTGCATCACGCTGCCGTATGCTTTCGCTCTGAGTCCCACAGAATGTAATGCAGTTGAGGCTGTGGCTGGGAAAGCCCTAGACCTGGTCAATAAAGGACGACGGGATGGCTACCTTTTCCAGTTGCTGCGAGTCGCTGATGCCCACGTGGACAAAGGGGTGAGCTGAGTAGGTAGACCATCAGGGGCATTAGAGGAAAACACGGCTCTAGCCCCTAAGCTTACTGCTTTGCACAATGAAATGGCTTTGGGCAGAGTTAACTGTTCATTTTCCACTGCTGCTCTATTTTTTTTTATTTCCTAATATTTGTTGTTTGACCTTAACTATGAATCATATGATAGGCATTTACACTATGCCAAATCAAATGTTCAATAGTGTAAGTGCAATAAATAGAACAGGGCTGAAGACAATGCTCAGTGGGCTATTTAGATGCATTGTGTGTGGTACTACATTGTCTATCTGCTACCACCAAGAGCAAACCCTGAACACAGTCATGGGAAGTCCTTGAAAAATACTGGGTGTGACCAAAACACACACACACACACACACACACACACACACACACACACTGTTGGTCTTGCCCTTAAGGAACTAGTAATCAGCTCACACTTACACATTGGCAATCTATGTAAGATAGGATATATTCAAATGACCAGGTGAATGGTATTGAGACTTGAGCAATATAATGAGAATGTTCTATTGATATTGGATGGGAGGAAACTTAATTTTATTGCTAAAGAATGAGTAGCACTCATTCTCATAAAGATTTGAATAGGACGAGAGACTGAGTAAAGACATTCCAAGAGAATCCCAATCCCTATTTAGGGGGATAATAGGAAAAAGCATTAAGGAGTGACTGAATATAAGCAGGAAATTCCTTAAATTTTATATGGGTACTAGAGTGGCCATTAAGTTGGTAGGGAGATGGAAAGCTTATCTTATAGCAAAGCAACCCTACTATCATCATGTAAATTATATGCATATTTGGAGATTACTTAAGGACTTGACAAAGACTATGAAGGGAGGTTTTCCCACTACTTCCCTCTCACTCTCCCCAAACTCTACCTTACAGTGGAACTGCTGAAATCAGAAATGTCAAACCACAGAGCACCACAGAGGGAAAAAGAGAAATCCATAATTTATGTATTAACATAGAGATGAAGGTGTTACAGTTACAGACAAAAAAATCAGAGTTTAAGAATTCAATCAAAAATTTAGTGATTATGGGGCGGGAGCAATAGTATAGTAGGCAGAGTGTATGCCTTGCACATAGTGAACCAGGGTTTGATTCTCAGCGTCCTATTTGGTGATGGAATGTGATTATTACTAAATTAGCATTATTAAGTTTTAGTGATTATTACTCCAATTTCAGGTTTTCTGCATCATCTACAGTACACAGGATGAATCAGCACAGAGCTATCTCTGAGTTGTAGTATAGATGGTGTGTGGGTGAACTGGGAAGGCCCTTGGATACTTGGGGAGATAGAACAGGTGACAGGGAAATGAACTTGGAAGCTTTACACATGTCCAGGAACAAGATGAGGACCAGATCCTGAAGAAGGAATTAGGGCAGGAATAATTAAGAAAAGATAAGAGATATTGCAAAGAAAGTCCCTATGAGACCTGTGACTGGAAAGCAAAAGCGAAAAAAAAAAATTAATGTTTATAGGGCAATTTCAAAGCTAGAGCCAGCTCTAAGTGATGGTGCCAGAGGAAAAAAAAGACATGGAAAGTTGAGAGAAGAGGAGCTTAACTGTAATAAAAGATTGTGGCTTTGACTTTGGGCAAGGCAACCACGTTCAAGGTGAGAGTTAGGTAGGAGGGTAGAATTGCACAAACACGTTGAAGACCAGAGTATCATCACTGATGTTTCTAGCCTTGGACCTTCAACACTCCCTCCAAGTCAATGCTGCTATTTGGAAATTGCTTTCAAAAGCTCATGAGCAGAAGCAGCAGTATGCACAGCTAAAAAGAACATTTTTGAATTATTCTTTTGAGGCTGTCTATACACATAAATAGATTAACTCACACGAAGGTAGGACATCTGCTAAAATCTGAAGGAGCAGGAATTAATGTTTAAGCAAAAATACAGATTTTACTGGGGCAGGGGGGAGGGGGCTCTGATCTTCTGCATGCTGCTCACCGTTTCTTCTTGGCTCTTTTCCCAGGAATCTTCAACTGTCTATTATTTAGTTTTAGACGTGATAGAATCTGATTGTTCGGTCTTATCCAGGAAATTTTGGGATGACTGTGAGCCAGATTTTTCTAGACATCCAACTCACACTGTAAGTACATAAGACACCATTCCCTTTCTCATAGTTTTTATTACCTTTATGTACTGTTCTTATTCAGAGCAGCCTAAGCTAGCATAGTATAAGAGTAAAACCAGCTTCTACCTCTCACTTCATAAAAACTATGTTGAACTCGAGTAATATTCTCCTTAGAGATCCATACCAAAACAACACAGTTCAAGATATATCAGTGGAACTGGGGTTCCCGTGGAATAGCAAAACCAACATGAACCATTGGGTAAATCATTTAAGATCCTTAGACTTCATGTCCTCAAGTGCAAAATAAGAGGAGGGTTCTAGAACAGGTTTACTCTCAAGCCCTTGGTAGCTCTGATTGATTATGACTCTAAGGATGTATGAACTTATATTTATATCAATTGAAAATTGGTCCGTCTAGTAGAAATATAACCAAAGAGATTCATTGCCATTACCATGAGAAATCGGGTCTTGTTTCACACGTTGCACATGGATTCTCAGATCCTAGACTCTGTCCTAGGAGAACAGAAAGATGCATAAGCAGATATAATTTGCAATTCCAGAAAATAGGATGTTCACACACCTGGAGTTTGAGTATTTTTCCCTTGAAAATATTTGATTTATGATCATGATCCATTTAAACAGTTTCCCCTTACTTCTTGTGCAAATGTTGGGTGTTTATTGCATCCAGTTCATAGAAATAAACTGAGAAAAATACAGGTTTTAGGAGTTGATTTGTTGGAGACAAAGTACAAATAAAGGTTTTAAATGGACAATAAAAGTATTTGACATCACTTTTTTGCTCCCTCATATCTAACCTGAAAACAGCAGTCTGCAATGACAAACCTCTTTCTTGCAGGTGATTGGGAAATGTAAGGTAATAGCAACAACACGGTTGAATGAATCTCAGTATCCACGAGTAGATCACTTTAACTGCACCACAAGTTCTGGTATGGTAATCTGTTAAATGCTAATGAATTCTAGGTTAATATAGATTTCAACTGTATAGTGGTATTTATCATGTTATAATATGATGAACACGTCAGAAATGGCTATTGCCCACATAGACTAAATTACTACTCACTCTTTTAAGGAGAGAAATAAAATATGTTATTTTGTATTACTGATATACCTTCCTTTAAAGATGTTCAGTACATAAAATAGGGAATTTGTCAGAGAAAGTACAGTACCGTAGAGAACACAAGTTCTGGTGTTAGATTTGCTTAAAATTGAATCACAGTCTCATCACTTACTAATTATATGGGCTTGAGGACAAGTTAGCTTCTTTAAGATTTCCTCTTTTATAGGATGAGGATAATAAAGCATTAACCCTTCCCATTCTTGGTGTAATTAAATATGATGGTCTCTGAAGTGTACTTTGCAGAGCAGTTAGTTGGTCCTCAATAACTTCTTCATTTATCTAGAAATCTAAAAGTTGGACTAGAGAGATAGTATAGGGGATTAGGTGCTTGCCTTGCTCATGGCTGATGCTGGTTCAATCCTGAACACTGCAAATGGTTTCTCTGAGCAGCACCAGTAATGATCATGGAGAAAAGAGCCAGGAGTAAACCTGAGCACAACTGGGTGTCTGGGTGTGACCTGAAAAAAAATGAAAAAAATATGCATATATACATGTAAATATATAATTTACAAAGAAAATATACATAGTTATCATAATTAATCTCACAAAAATACAAAATAAAAATGATGATACTTTGTATTTTGGAGATAAAGTGAGGCTCGAAGATGCTTAATGTCTTGGTCTTGCGAACACAGGCAAAATCCACTAAAGTTCCATGCTCTTTTTATTTCTTTATTTTTTTCAAAAAAGAATTTTCACCACATTCCTTTTAAAATATCAAATCTTGGGGTCGGAATTATAGTACAATGAGTAAGGTACTTGCTTTGCACACAGCTGACCCGAATTCAATCTCCAGTACTCCATATGGTCCTTGGAGCCCCTCTAGGATCTCTAAGCAGGAGTAAAACCTGATTACAGCTGCATGTGACCCAAAATGACATAAATAAATAAACAAACAAATAAATGATAGCGAGTCTTGAGCCAGAGAGACAGTACAGTAAGTACGGTACTTGCCTCACCCGCACCTGACCCCATATGAATTCCCAGCACCCCGTAGGAAGGTCACCTGGGCACCATCAGGAGTAGTCCCTGTGTGCAGAGCAAGGAATAACCATGAATACCAAAAAAAAAAAAAAAAAAAAAACCAAAACACCCAAATTTGTTTTGTTTGTTTTTTTTTTCTTTTTGGGTCACTCCCAGCGATGCTCGGGGGTTATTCCTGGGTCTGTGCTCAGGAATTACTCCTGAGAGTGCTTGGGGGACAATATGGGATGCCGGGGACCAAACCTGGGTCGGCCGCATACAAGGCAAATGCCCTACTTGCTGTACTATCGATCCGGACCATAAAAAGCAAATCTTGAGTGCCAAAAGACAGAATAGGGGTTAGTCACTTGTTTGGCATGCAGCTGGCTCTGATTTAACTCCTGCACAACATGGTCCCCTGAGCACAGAGGCAGGGGTAACCTCCAAGCATAGCTGGGCATGACCCAACACCCCTGTGCAAAGAAAACTTTAAGATGACATAAAATAATAATAAAAACTGCCAACCAACAACTGTAAGATGTTGCTTTTTAAAAAGATTGAGCCGGGGACAGGACTACAGCTCAATGGAACCAGGATTTTAGTCTGACCCCTGGCACCAGGTGGCTGAATGTAGCCCAGGAGTCTACTGCTGGATGTGGCTGCTATAAAAGTAAACAAATAAAAGCTGAACTATATCTTCTCTCTTCAGCTAAAACTTTACGAGAGTTCATTCAAATCCTCATACTTTACAGATGACGTGAGAGGTTGTACATCATAGGCAGTGTCCAAGAGAAATTTGAGCACAGGGTGAATCTAGGTTTGGATTTCTCCCTGCTGCTAATTTGTTGATTTAATCTCAAACAAGTTACTTATCTTGTCCCATCCTCAGTTATTTGCATCTGCAAATTGTTATTCTTGTCACCATGACCAAGCATTAGCATCTGTTTTCTTTTTTTTTAACTTAATTTTTATTAGTGAGACACCATGAGTACAGTTGTAGACTTACAAATTTCTGTGCTTGGGTTTCAATTATACAATGATCAAATACCCATCCCTCCACCAGTGCCCATTTCCCACCACCACGGATCCCAGTATCCCTCCCATCCCCATCCCCCCACCCCACCCTGCCTCTGTGTCAGGGCATTCCCCTTTGTTCTCTCTCTCCTTTTGGGTGTTGTGGTTTAGCATCTGTTTTCAACCCTGTAACTGCGAATCTGCTTTCTTCTTCCCCCAGTCTCTTCAGCACTGACCAATACCAAAGACAGTCCTGTACTCATTGATTACTTTGAAGATACTGAGCACTACAGAAAACAAGCTGAAAAGGCACTTGAGAAGTACAAAGAGGAGAATGGTGACTTTGCCTCATTCAAAGTGGACCAAGTGGAGAGAGTGTCAAGAGTGGTGAGCCTCACTTAAAGAGCAGCTAGAAACTAAGAGATTGGACATGAATTTGACTGGGGCAAACAGTATCCCTTGAGCTCTCCATTAGCTGTGCTAGGCTAGCTGCATTTAAATCAAAAATCCCGTGGTAGCTTCAACAGATAAGTAGCAGATACTCAAGAATTAGCCTCCGTTGTTTTTTAAATTGGGAGAGTGGGAAGGGTTGATTAGGATTATGTGAATCAGTGAATATCATCCTGTCCTGATGGACTTACACTATGATTCAAAGAAACTGCAACACCCAATATTACACTGGAAGTAGACAGTTCTCTTGGCTGAACCCCAGGACCCTTGCACCTCCTACCTGGAGATAGTCTCCTGCTGCAGCTAGAGAATATTCACCAGGGATTTGGGAAACCCATAGTGAAATGTCTTAAGATGCATACACATGATGGAATAAATACAGTGCATTTACTTTCACCAGAAAGAGTTCCAAGACATTGTAAAGGGGAAAAATATGTTCCAGAACAAAATTTAAGATTATCAGTCTACAGACCTTCAGGTGCTTGTCTTGCAAGCATTCCAGGAACTGTCAGTCTTTTTCTGACCTTTGTTCCCTTGTCTGTTTCCTTCTTATGAGACTTCTGTTCTACCTGCTCCCTAGCTTCATGCTGTGACTGCCCACCTTTTACATGATTTTCACTTGTAGCCTTCTAAGAATATCCTTGGAGTACACAGAGGGTCCTGTGGCCCCTGATTGAGAAATGCTGCTTGATTTCCAACAGTATATCGGAGATTAAGTGTTGACAAACAGCCTGTTTTGTTAACTTTCTGTGTTCCTGATGCTTCTTTGCTTTTACTCCATTCTAGAGAGGAGAGGAAAGAACCAATTACTACTTTGATTTCTCTGTGAGGAATTGCTCTGCTTACCACTTTCCCAGGCACTCCAAAGTGAGTATAATAAATGTCTGTGAAACATTAAAACATTTTGAGTGCACCTGCTATGTGCCAGATACCCCCTGGGTAGTTTACACCTAGGCTAACTTATAACTGACCTAGAGGTGAATACGATGTTTATCCCCAACTTGCAAATATGAAAGTTAAGTAAATAATTAGAATATGGTTTTAAATAATACATTTTATGCTCCCAAACTTAAAACTAAGATTTTTTTCACTAATTATGATGTAAAAGACTCATAGCTAACTGTATAAAGAAACTACACACATGATATTTTCATTTATGTCATCTCATCTGCTCTTCAGTTGAGCCCCATCCATGTAAAGGATTTGACCGCTGTTCACTGGAATGTAATACTTTGCTGCAGTTAAGGTTAGACTACAGCTCAGATCAAGGAGATATTGCCCTAATCACTGATAACTTGATACCCATGATCCTGCAGAAAGATATTAGTAATACCCAGCATTTTTTTGTGATGGCCTAATTTTGACAAAATGTGTCTACATATGTTATTCCTTCACTGCAGTCTCATAACAATCTGAAGAGGCGCTAGGATTCACTTCTTTTTTTCTCCTGAAAAAGAAAACTACATGCCTAAGGGCACTTAACTAAAAAAGTGTTAGGATACAGGGTTTTTTTAGTTATCACCTTCTAATTTCAAATCAGAAGGGTTTCTGGGGTTTAATAATACTTTTTGCTAGGGATAATAAAGAGGAAGGCATTATAAGTTCCATTTCTGGCTTTTTAATTTTTTTTTTTTTTGCTCTTTTGGGTCACATCCAGCGAGGCTCAGGGGTTACTCCTGGCTCTGCACTCGGGAATCACTCCTGGCAGAGCTTAGGGTACCATATGGGATGCTAGAAATCGAACCCAGGTTGGCCGTGTGCAAGGCAAACACCCTACCCACTGTACTATAGCTCCAGCCCTGGCCTTTAAATTTTTTGACCTGAAACAGTTTCAGGCTGGAGCGATAGGACAGCGGTAGGGCATATGCCTTGTATGCAGCCAGCCCAGCCGAGCCGGGTTCAATTCCTCCGCCCCTCTCGGAGAGCCTGGCAAGCTACTGAGAGTATCTCGCTGGCACGGCAAAGTCTGGCAAGCTACCCATGACATATTCAATACGCCCAAACACAGTAACAGCAAGTTTCAAAATGGAGACGTTACTGGGCCCGCTCGAGCAATTCGATGAACAACGGGAGGACAGTGACAGTGACAGAAACAGTTTCAGAATCTTGCTAATGACCATCAAAAAAGGCACCTCCCTCCTTATTCCCAATCCAATAAACCAGTAAAATTCTTGATGTTGATACTATAAACCTAGCACCAAAACATGGTGGCTTAAAAAAAAAACTCAGTGCTAAACATTATAGTTAAATCCTGCTACAACTTGTGGGTAGATAATATTATAAAAACATTTTCAAAAACTGAGTTTCAGAAATTTTATGTAATTTGCTTAAACTCACACAACTGGAAAATGATGAAGCCAGAACTGTGAGATTCTGAAACTGTACTTAGAACCTCATGCTTTATAACTTCTAGAAGAATTTTCTCCTTGTCCTAGACCAAAATCAATCAATGAGTTTAGAGTTCTCTGGAGCCTGGAGTGCCTACTAGCTATTCCTAGTACCAGAGTAACCAGCAGTCACTTTAACAGGGTTCATTCAAAACCTTCTTTATTCCAGCTCCTTCCTTCCCAACACTCCTCTCCAAAGGACTAGTCAAAATTATGTGGATCCCTCTGCTGCAATATTCTTCATTCTGTCACCGTATAGCCAACTTTATCACCGAGGATTAGGATAAAGGCAAGGCATCCGTGATGTGATAGTCTTTACTAAAACCTATGTTAGTAGAGAACCTGTGTGATTCTCTACCATGCATAGGGAAAGTCCTACGCATGGTAGAGAACCACAGAAATGTGTGCTGATGCCTTCACAACCAATACTTCCTCCCAAATGCTGACCAAGAAACATGGTTTAAAACCTAGTGGAGGGGGCTAGCAAGATAGTACTGCAGGTAGGGCGCTTGCCTTGCATGCAGCTGACCCAGGTTTGATCCCCAGCATCCCACATGGTCCTCTGAACACCACCAGGAGTAACTCTTGAGCACAGAGCCAGGAGTAATCCCTGAGCATCGCCAGGTGTGGGCCAAAATCTTAAATTAAACACACACACACACACACACACACAAAACCTAGTGGAGGGCCTGAGTGATACTATAGTGGACACAGCACTTGCCTTCTACACAGCAGACAGAGTTCAATTCCCAGCACCCCATAGGGTCCCCTAAGCCCTGCCAGCAGTGACCTCTGAGCACAGAGCAAGGAGTAATCTCTAAACACTACCAGATTGTAGCCCAAAACAAATAAACAAAACCTTGGTGGAGTTGTTGGTTAATGTTACTTAGTTTTTATAATGCTTTCTTCCTTTCTCAAATGTCTAGAAGTTCATATGTCTAGCTGGGCACCTTCATACCACCTACAAGTGTGCACTTACTAGACCATATGGGTATTAAGTTCCCACTTCTAAACACAGACACAGCAAACACACACTGATGTTTCTCTCTTTTTTGTAGGTTTTTGGATTCTGCAAAGCATATTTTTCCTATGATCCACAAGCCTCTGACTTGGAAAATCCAAATTATATCAATGTAAACTGTGAAGTCTTTAACATTGAGGTAAGTTGACGTAGTAGCTTCTGTTATAAGCAGTGCCAGTCTGAATGATTATTTTTTCATATTTATAGTGTATTTTACATTTTGGACAACATGAGGAGGAGGCTGGGAGAGGACAGAGAAACACAGAGCAAATGGGTCTCTGGGGGGAAAGGGTGAAATTGTTAGAATGGCACCCAAAGTATGGAAATTTTCCCAAGCATTGGGGAGGGATGAAGTTTGGCAGAAAAGTAAAATCATGATCAGTTCCATCAATCTTTAATGAAGTTGAAAATGACCCCTTAATAAGGGTTCCAATGCTGAGCCTGAATAATTCCTAGCTTTTATCAGGCATGGAAGCAAAAGGGAATAAACTAGTTTAAAAATAAATGTATCACGTTAAGGGATATTAAATAAAATGCAAAACAATAGTTTACATCTGTACCAAAACCCTTTGCTCTATAACAGGTATCATTCACAATACTCTTATCAGGGAAAAATCGAAAAGAAAAAACTAGGTGTCAAGTCAAAAAGTGGGGCTGGGGGCAGTGAGAGGCTGGAGAGATAGTACAATGGGTAAAGTACTTGCCTTGCAAGCAGTTGACCCGGGTTCAAATCCCTGTACCACCTATGGTTCCCCAAGCAGTGCAAGGAGTGTGTCCTGAGCACAGAGCCAAGAATAACTCTGAGAATCATTGCGTATGCCGCAAAAAGATAAAAGATCTTAAAGTTTTGAGGGAATGGGACAGCAGGATTATCACCATGAAAATAAATCCCCAGATTATTGCTTATGTATTGGTGCTACCAGTGTTTGTGTCCAGGGCCTCTGAGATTGAATCTGAAGGCATGCTCTTTCCCAGCCGCTCCCTTTTAAATTAAAATCTGTAAAGGAGAGTGAAGAGGTGAAGTAATCATCCTCTAGGAGAAAGGAAGACTCGTGCCTTTAAACTTTTGTACTCTATTAGGCATATAAATTACTAGGCACTCCCCACCTATTGCCCTACAGATGAGTATCATTCTGTAACATAATTTCATCACTTTTTTGTCAAAATGAGAAAAATAAGGACAATAAAGTTGTTAAAAAAACAATTATTCCATGTAAAGATTCAGTCTTTATGATTGTCTTTCTAATTTGTGTGTTGCCAAAATATTTTTATTTCTGTGAAATGGTGATAAACAGTAGGTTTTATTTGCATTCTAAATTACAACTTTGTTAGATAAAAATTTGAGAATTTCTTTTTGGTATTCTACTTCTAAAATTCATGTGCGGGGGCCAGAGTGATAGTACAGTGGGTAGGGCATCTGCCTTGTATGCGGCTGACCCAGGTTCAATCCCCAACATCCCATATGGTCCCCCAAGCACCCCCAGGAGTAATTCCTGAGTGCAAAGCCAGGAGTAACCCCTGAGCATCGCTGGGTGTGACCCAAAAATAGCAAAAAGAAAACAATTCAAAAATAAAAATAAAAAAATAAAATAAAATTTATGTGCAGGGGCTAGAGCAATAGTACAGAGGGTAGGGCACTTGCCTTGCACACAGCTGATTCTCTTTCTTTCTTTTTTTTTTTTTTAATTTTATTGGCTGGAGCAATAGCACAGTGGTAGGGTGTTTGCCTTACATGCAGCCAACTTGGCCGACCTGAGTTTGATTCCTCTGCCCCTCTTGGAGAGCCCAGCAAGCTACTTGCTACAGCAAGTATCTCGCCCACACGGCAAAACCTGGCAAGCTACCCGTGACGTATTCGATATGCCAAACACAGTTGTTACTTTTAGTAACTTGTTAGTCTCACGATGTTACTGGGCCCACTAGAGCAAATCGAGGAACAACGGGAGGACAGTGCTACAGTGCTATTGAATCACTGTGAGATAGTTTCAAGCTCTCATGTTTGAGTTACAAACACACAATGATCAAACACCCATCCCTCCACCAGTGCACATTCCCCACCACCAATATCTCCGGTATACACCCCCTTTCCCACCCTCCCCCTGCCTCCAATGCAGACATGATTCCCCATAATCTCTCTCCACTTTTGGGCATTATGGTTTGCAATACAGACCCTGAGAGGTTATCATGTTTGGTCCTGTATCTACTTTCTGCACACATCTCCATCCCGACCAACTCCTCCAGTCATCTTTTTCTTAGTGATCCTTTCACTATTCCAGCTGTCTTCTCCCCTTTGCTCATGAGGCAAGCTTCTAGCTATGGAGCAATCTAATCTGTCCCATGTATCTACTATCCTTACGTGTCAGTCTCATGTTATGTTGTTTTATACTCCACAAATGAGTGCAGTCCTTCTATGTCTGTCCCTCTCTTTCTGACTCATTTCACTTAGCATGATACTCTCCATGTCTATCCATTTATAAGCAAAGTTCATGACTTCATCTCTCCTGACAGCTGCATAGTATTCTATTGTGTAGATGTACCAAAGTTTCTTTAACCAGTCATCTGTTCTAAGGCACTTGGGTTGTTTCCAGATTTTGGCTATTGTGAACAGTGCTGCAATGAACATATAGGTACAGATGTCATTTCTACTATGCTTTTTTGCATCCTCGGGATATATTCCTAGCAGTGATATTGCGGGGTCATATGGAAGCTCAATTTCTAGTTTTTGAAGGACTGTCTGTATTGTTTTCCAGAAAGGCTGGACTAGTGGGCATTCCCACCAACAGTGAAAGATTGTCCCTTTTTCCCCACATCCACGCCAGCACCAGTTGCTTTTGTTCTTTTGAATGTGTGCCAATCTCTGTGGTGTGAGATGATATCTCATTGTTTTGATTTGCATCTCCCTAATGGTTAGTGATGTGGAGCATTTTTTCATGTTCCTTTTGGACATTTGTATTTCTTTTTTTGAGGAAACTTCTGTTCATTTCTTCTCCCCATTTTTGATGGGGTTGGAGGTTTTTTTCTTGTACAATTCTACTAGTGCCTTGTATATCCTGGATATTAATCCCTTATCAGATGGGTATTGGGAAAATTTTCTTTCCCATTCAGTGTGCTCTTTCTGTATTTTGGTCACTGTTTCTTTTGAAGTGCAGAAGCTTCTTAGTTTGATGTAGTCCCATTTATTTATGTTTGCTTCCACTTGCATGGTCAGTGCTGTTTCATCCTTAAAGATGCTTTTAGCTTCAATATCGTGGAGAGTTCTGCCTACATTTTCCTCTATGTACCTTATGGATTCATGTCTGATATTGAGATCTTTAATCCACTTTGATCTGACTTTTGTTCCCGGCATTAGACAGAGGTCAGAGTTCATTTTTTGCAGGTAGCTCTCCAGTTTTCCCAGCACCACTTGTTGAAGAGGTTTCCTTGTTCCACTTGACATTTCTTGTTCCTTTGTCAAAGATTAACTGATTTGGGGGTCTGTAACAGAATATTCAACTCTGTTCCATTGGTCTGCAGGTCTGTTTCTAGCCCAGTACCATGCTTCTTAATTAGTACTGCTTTGTAGTACAGTTTGAAGTTGGGGAGGGTGATACCACCCATCTTCTTTTTCCCAAGGATTGTTTTAGCTATTCATGGGGGTTTATTGTTCTATATGAATTTCAGGAGTATTTTGTCTATTTCTTTAAAAATTGTCATGGGCATCCTGATAGGGACCACATTGAATTTTTATAGTGCTTTGGGCAGTATTGCCATTTTGATAATGTTAATCCTCCCTATCCATGAGTAGGGGATGTGAGCTGACCCTCTTTCAACCCCTGAATCCACACAAATTGTTTCCAAGCCTCACCAGGAGTATTCCCTGAGTGGAACCAGGAGTAAGCCCTGGGCACCACTGAGTGTGATCCCCCCAAAATTAATTAATTAATTAATTAAAGTTTCTTTGTGGAAAAACTGAGTTGGGATATTGAAAGGGAAGACCAATGGGGACATGGAAGAAGGGAGGTGGGTACAACAGTGGTGATGGGTGTGATGATGGAGTCAATGCACTGGAAACCACTAACAATATTGCAAATCACAGTACATCAGTCAGTTAAAATTTTTTGAAATAAAATTCATTTGTGGGGCTGGAGTGATAGCACAGCCGGTAGGGCGTTTGACTTGCATGTGCCCTGACCCAGGTTTGATTCCCAGCATCCCATATAGTCCCCTGAGCATGGCCAAGAGTAATTCCTGAGTGCATGAACCTGTGCATCGCTGGGTGTGACCTAAAAAGCAAAAAAAATTTTTTTAAATTTTAAAAATTAAATAAAATAAAATTCATTTGTAAAATGCGAAAGTCTGAGAATGATTTGTCCAAATCAAGTGAAATATATGACTTCTTTTGCATTAGTTAATGCTACTCACTTCTCTGTCCTTCACCAGGAACATAGAAACATGAGCGGTGTCCATCCCCTCTTTGGCCATCACAACCACTCTTGGCATGAGCATTCTCATGAAAGGACACCTCCATTTAGGCCCAAGGGATCCAGAGACCATCATTCCCACAAGACACATAAATTTGAATGCCCACCTTCTGGAGAAGATGAAAGGCCACCATCTCAAATAGGATCTACCTCACCATCGCTCTCTTCAAGGTCAAGATGTCATCCCCACCATCTTGACACCGATGGGATCCATGGACCACCTCATAACCACAGTTCGAGTGAGCACCATCCCCACAAACACCATCCCCATGGACACCGTCCTCATGGACACCACCGCCATGGGCACCACCCCCACAGTCAGGAGGCCCCTGGTCAACACTCCCGTGAACACCATCCTCACGGACACCATCCTCATGGGCACCCTCCTCACAGGAACCATTCTCCTGGGCACCATCCTCACAGACACCATCCCCCTGGTCATGGTTTCCATGACTTTGGACCCTGTGACCCACCACCCCATAGGCAAGGTCACCATCACCGCCCTCATCATCATGGCCCACCACCAAGGAATTCAGAGGAAAGAGATCCAAGAGGTCCAGGTAGAGGAAAGTTTCCCTTCCCAAGGGGCCCTTTTGGAACTGTTCACCAACTCCCACCACTGAAGACAGGAGAAGTTCTTCCTCCTCCTGAAGCTAACTTTCCCATCTTCTCATTGCCACATCACAAACATTCAAAGCCAGAGCTTCAGCCCTTTCCTCAGTCACCCTCTGAGTCATGTCCAGGGAAGCATAAAGATGACTTTCCCCGAGTCTCCAAGTTTTTTTGAGATTCAAAATACATCTAATTTTCTTCCTAAAGGAAACAGAATTACCCTTTGAATTAAAGCTGGAAATAAAATATGACCAGTAAAATGAAATGTTTGGTACTTCTTATCCTTATTTTTATTCTTAGGACAAAGCAGAATTGGGGAGAGGAGAGAGCGATCTTAGTCCTAAAGAAGCTAAATCAGAAGCTAATTCTGTTGCTGACCACTATGTCACATAAGGAAAGTCTCTGATTCTCAGAATTTCTTTTTCCCAGAATCTTTTAGTTCTAGCATCTCTATTTGATTAGCACTTTCACAATTGCTGAACATACCAAGAACTATCACTTCAAAGACTATTCTTACCAGACAAACTTAAGTTTTCTAATTGTTATTTCTATTCCTCTAGATTTTCTTTAGGAAGCATATGTAGTTAATTTAATTATAAGTAAAAAATAAAACAACTCATGTTAGAAGTTGCAAAAAAAAGTTGCAGATATAAATCACAACCATAAATTTCAGTGCACAAGAAATAACACCTAATTTGGGGGCAAATTAATTTCTATTTCAGATTACCATCCTACAGGGTAGCAATATAACAGAAAATCTGACCTCAGTCTGTGGAGTTGCTCCATCCTGCTTCTTCCTCCACAAGGTTCTGCCATAGTTCTATAATCTCACAGACTGCCCAAATGATTGGATGGTGGAATAAGAGGGAAGTCTGGCTTTTTATCATTGGTTCACCAAGCTTCTCCTACTGAGAGATTCCTATTGTCCTGTTCAAACCACTCTATGGGCTAATGCATGTGCTTCTACTGATATCAAACCATGAGTTTAAGTTTGCAAGGGAGCCAATGAGCATGGTTCCTAGGAGACGGCAAATGCCCCAGGATTGCCATTGCCCCACCGACTGCATGCCCAGAAAGCAGGGTAGAGGAATTCTCAGTCAGAGTGCTGAATCCTGCTCTCTCAGAGATAGAAGAACTTGTCTCAAACAGCTTCTCTAAATTTATTTTTGGTGCCAAAGGGATCTTCTTCTACACTCTAATTTTCTTTTCCTTTCTTTTCCTTTCTATTGTATCCTTTCTCTGCAAATCGAGGCATAAGCATTCAAACACAGGTTGATAATTTAGTTTTAGGACCAGAAAGATAGGGAGGGGCGAAGGCATATGTCTTCCTGTTGGCCAACCCCGATATGATCCCCGGTACTACATGGTCCCCCAAGCAATGCACCACTGAGGAAGCCTAGTATCTCTGGGAGGGGCTTTCAGGTCTCCTGAGCACAATTGTGAGACAGACCCCCACTACCCTGATCAAAAAAAAAAAGAAAAGAAAAGAAAATAACCAGTTTCTCTCCATCTGGCTTACTGAAGCAATTTCACCAAGTCAGGCAGATTGATGGAGGAAGATAGAAGAGGTGGGGAGGGGAAAGGGGAAAAAATAAGGCAGGAGACATGGAAAGATTTCTGAGCTGGGAAGAAGGAGGAATTCACATGCAGGAAGAAGCTGAAGCTGAAAGAATGTAGAATGACAGATATTACAAGAAGGAGAGGGTTGGAAAGGAACTCAAGGCCAATTATAGTTAGCGTCAAATGAATCCTCTAAAACAAGACAAGCAGATGACTGGAGATATAGCACAGCAGGTGGAGAAGTTGCCTTGCACACAGTTGATCTGGCTTCAATCCCTGCCAGGAGCCATTCTTGAGCACAAGAGTCATAAGAAGTCCTGAAAACTGCCAGGTATGGGCCCAAAATAACAACAAAAAAGATGGAAACAAGACTAAGTCTGCACAGTTTGGTGTCACTATTTGTAAAACAAACAAGAAAAAAGGTGACGTGGAGGAGTCCGAACAAGGTTCTAATTCCGGTGTCACAATATACTAACTGTAAGATCTTCAGCAAATCTGTAACACATGAGGGATTACCTTCTTTCTGTTTTATAGGTAAGAAAACCAAGGTTGCATCTAGACCAAATCGTGTTTCTACCATTTCACTGCAAGGTCACCCTAAAGCCTCTTTCCTGGACCTTTCAGGAGGCTGAATTGCCAAGCGAGGAGGGGCTTTTCCATAAACGCCACTCAGAGAGAAAGTACAATAAGATGAGCACATGCTTGGCATCCAGGTTAAATTTCTTAGTACCATCCCACGGTCCTCTGAGCACCTCCAGGAGCAAACACTGAGCACAAAGCTAGGAGCAGTTCCTGAGGGCTGCCCAAAATAAGCAAAAACAAACAAATTTTTAAAACCCACTGCAACAATTAAGTGAATTATCCTTTCCTGGGGACAAGGAAAAAAGGTAAGACTTGAGGGCAAACCCCTACCAAGGGTGAGCCCCTTACTTTAGCCTACCCTTAAATTTCCTCTCTCCAGATGATTTCACTTAACCAAATATGTTGCTTACACTTGGTGTGAAAGAGAGACGTTCACAAAACTAGACTCAAGAAGCAAGATCGAGGGAGGCTTCACTCAACCTTTCCTTCACTCTTTGCTCTCTCCACTGTCTTCTCCACCCTCAAGAGCATTTTCCTTTCTAGAATTGGTACAACTGAGTGAAGAGAGAGACTGGTCTGTACAAAGGAGGCTGGAGAGAAGCAAGATCAGATAAAAGATGCCCAGATTTGACTCTTCAAGCCTGTGGTCTCCCTTGAACACCTCTCTCACTTGCTTATTTCTCTGCCTCCTACTTCCACTCTAGAGAAGACTAGAGTTAATACACTAATGTGTGTTAAGTCCTCTCTTAATACACAATTCTTCCTCTCTCTCTCCTTACTTACTCTTTATAAGTAAGTTTCAATAAAAACCATCTTCTGAAACACAAACACAAAAGTTTGTAAGTCTGTAACTGTACCTCACGGTGATTCACTAATAAAAAATTATTTTAAATAATAAATAAATAAATAATCATCTTGCTTCACACAATACACACACACATACACACACATGTACAATGCCCATATTTTATTTTTAGTTTTCACCAATATTCTGATGTGAGTTTCCCAGCACTAACTTATGCCCTTTGCATGAGCTCAAAGGCATGTGTGGTGGTGGTAGCAGTCCACTGCTCTGCAACCAGACAGCCTCCTGGAAATAAATCACACTGAGATGAATTTTCACATCTTATTCTTGAAGGCATTGTTGCACGTAATGACCCTTGTAATCTGCTTTGGGAAGTCACATGGGAATAACAGAGGTAGTTAGGGATTTTCCCTCTAAAGTTTTTTTGCTCTATAAAGTTGTGCAATCACTTGTGAATATGCTCTATGCCCTGACATTCTTCCCAACCGCAAACAAACCAGGTCAACAACCCCAGTGTTGTAATGTTCCAGCCTGAAATTGGATAACCCTGCAGTCATTTGTCTGCCTGTTAATAAAGCAAACAGTACATGGCAGTAGAAAACCAGCCAGCACTCCAGGCTTCTGAGGCAGAGGAGAAGGGTCTAGAGAAAGTTAAAAAAAAAATTTGATCCAAGTTGTTTCTCAATTCTTGGTGAAACAACTCTCTGCACCTTGAAGGGAGCAGTCGAATCATGAAATTAATTACCATCCTTTTACTCTGTTCCAGGCTGCTGTCAAGTTTATGCCAGGAACATACCTTAAGAGAAATTGACTGCAATGACGAGGATGCATTTCTGGCTGTGGATACTGCTCTGAAGACATATAATGACAATAGCAAAAGTTGCAACCAGTTTGTATTGTACCGCATAACTCAGGTCAACAAGACAGTGAGTATATTGTTTAACCTTGACGTTGTTTGGGATTTGTGGTTTCACTTGAACCCAGACCTCAGATACACTGACACACTCATACTAGAGATACACATGCATGCATGCACACTCACACTACAGAAGAACTATAATCAAAGGTAAAAGCTTATAGCTCTTAGAAAAAAACTCTCTGACCTAAGCATAGAGGGCAAGTTATGACCAGTCTTTACACCCTCAGGGTTGGAGTCCTGGGTGATCAGAGAGTCGATATCCTGGGGAGAGATGAAACAAAGGTAGATTTTTAAATAATGTAAAAAAGCTCTAAGCAGATCTCCAGGACTTTGGGGGGAAATGGATGCTTTAGTGAGCATGTTTAAGAAAATCTGTATGCACTCTCAGGAACAGGAAACAGAACGGTGAGAAACTGGGGGGAATGCAGAGGTGGTCAACGGTGTAAACTTCCAATTGTAAAATGAATAATCTCTGAAGTTCAATGTATAGCATGGTGACTATAGTTTATAATACTGCATGAACTTGCTGATAGTAGGTGCTAATACAATTATACAATGTTGTTAGAATTATTATAATCCTACTAACTTATACTACAAGAGTCGGTCTAATATAATAATGTCCCATATACTTAAATTTTGCTAAGAGAGTAAGTTTTTAAAAGTATTCCCACCTTTAAAAAATAACAGGTATGAGGTAATGATGGTGTTAAAGATCCTGTTTATATGTATACTTTGTAGAAGTATACATATTGGGGGCTGGTGTGATCTTACAGCGGGTAGTACATTTGCTTTGCCTGTGGTCGATCCTGGTTCAATCCCTGGAATCCCATATGGTCCCCCAAGCAGAGACAGGAGTAACCCCTGAGTACCGCCAAGTGTGACCCAAAACACCAGAAAACAAGAAAGAAAAGGGAAAAAAAAGTAAAAGAATACATATACCAAATTATCACATTTTATACCTTAAAAAGTAAAGTAAGTAAAGTAAAGGCCCTCCCGTTGATCATTTTTTTATACCTTAAACAAATACTAATTTTATTCTAAAGTTATACCTCAGTAAAGTTGGGTAGGGGAGGGAAGGAATGTCTAGATGACAGAGATGAAGTCTAGAGTCAGAGATGAAGTCAGAGCGTTTCTACTACATGAGACCAAATGTCTCCCATCAAGGCCATTTGGCTAAAGGTCACCATTTGGTAGCAGCAATGTCTAGGTGGTTTTTTTTTTTAACTAAATGCACTTAGGTTGGGAATAAATTCCTTCAAGAGTCTTTAAAATTCAAATCTTTTCATAGTTTATTTAAGTGCATTTCACAATCACTGTGTCTCTGTACTGGTTGAGAAATTTTTTCCCCCAATGGAGAAAAATGAAAGTCATTTGAATTATATGAATTAAAAAACAGCGT